GAGACCGAGTGAGCAGGTGTGAGTGTGAGTCTGGTGCGGGCGTGTGTCTGGGGCCCCCATGTTCTCAGGGCTTTCCTCCAGGGCCCCCAGCCCCTCTCCTCCAGGGCCCCCAGCCCCTCTGAGGAGCTTCTGGTGGCGGGAGGGCGCTCAGGTGGCCACAGACACAGGAGTCTGCACAGACCCCACCTGCCTGGTCTGAACCCCTCCTCACACAGAACTGGGTTCCGGTGAGGCACCCTGTGCCCATCAGGCACTTATACCCTGTGGGGTTCTGCCACATCTTTCCTTCTTCACTGTCCTCCGCTGACGCGTCATGTCTTCCTGCAGGGGCTTTGGGACCTGACCCCATTTTCTCTCAAGCATGTTGGGCCTCCCTTCCTCTCACTGCTGCAGGGGGTGATGCTGCCACTCCCCAGCCCCAGCATGTGGGGATGTGAGTCTGAGCATGTGAGTCTGCATCGCTGAGGCATGGTGGACTGTGGGCCCCCCCTCCCCCATGTCCCCTCTAAGGCAGGCGGTGGAAATAGCCAAGATCACCTGTGCACACCTGCTTTCTTTTAGAGTCTGGGAAAGGAGGAAAGGACCTGATGTGGCTTTTTCACCTGTGCTGGGAAAATGTGGTGCTGTAGGGCTGAAGAGCAGCCATTTTGGAAGAATGTCCCAAGGAAGTGGCGGGAGCAAAGAGAATGTGTCATTTTAATCTCTACTTTTAGGATATAGTCATAGGAGAAAATGGTTTTTGGTAACCTCTTGGTTCCAGAAAAGGATGTGTCAAGACGTTATTGTGCTTCTCCAGCACTGAGTGAGTTAATGACTCACAAGTCCACTTTACTCCTGAGGTGAGGTTTTTAATGGTTCTTAGCAGAAACATTTGCATTATAATAGGAGTTTGTACCTGAGGAACTTAGCATTGAAATTTAGGGAAACAATTATCCTTATTTTTATTTTTGGAAAAGAGCCAAGTCAAGCTGTCTTCAGACCTCCAGGATGCCTGGCCTGGCCTGGCCGGGTGACATGTTCACAGCCCACAGCTGCACAGCCTTGTTTCCGTCCCAAGCCAGAGCCAGCATGCTGCACGAACTGGAGGGGGGCCCACTGGCTTCTGGAAGGGTCTTTAAGAAAATTAACTCAGAATTATGCGGGCAGTACCTGAACAGAAGCCGCCTAGATAAGGGACTGGAATGGTCACGGCCTGAGCAAACAGACGTGTACATGCAGGCCAGGACTAGGCTTGGCGTGGGCGCAGCAGATTGAGGTGCCCGTCTGCTCACGCACTGTGGACCAAAGCAGGTGAGGCCCTGAGATGGGGGCCCATGGGTTTCCAGCATCTCCTCTCACTTTCGTACCCAAAGCCCCAGCCTCATTAAGTACAGCTTCTGCCTTCTCATTTGTCACAGCGACATTAAAGGTTTTCTACCTAGAACTTGGGTTCCCATTTTCCTTCCCTTCTCTGAAAGCTCCCTTTCCTGCTGCTCAACCCTGAAACCCTGTCACAAGATTTAGGTTTCTGCATCTTCAGTGAGCTGCTTTTGAACACATTTCCTCATTAACCAGATGTCACCGTGTTATCCCCACCCAGGTATCTCTTGCTTCTCTAGCTGCCCTTGGGCTGGTGCGCATGGTGGATCTCACTGGGTGGGGGTGGGGTTGATGGCAGGGCCTGCGGGTGCACAGATGTTCTCAGGCAGAACCAGGCAGTATCAGCAACACCTCTGGCCTCTGCCCAGATTGGCTTTTGCTGGGGTAGTCTCTGGCTCAGCGGGGCTGGTCTTGACTCCAAGAGCTTCAAACCTGGACTTGCAGCCCATCCAGAAGACACACATTCCTTCTGTGTGTCTTGAGGAAGGATTCCCTATAGCAAGAAGGGGCTCAGAAACACACACATGTACCTGTATTTAAGCAGCATCTCCCATACCTAGTGGACCGGAAGCCATGTGTTGAACCAAGGTCATCAATATGTCAAGGAACTCTTTGGAAATCTTTGGAATGTGCTTAACTCTCATGTCACATGTCATGTGAGACTTGGTAAAAGCAATGGCTGCTGGAGGAAGGGGTGCTGGAAGGGGGATGGCCCAGGGTCAAGGGCGAGGCACCCAGACAGCTGGATCCTGTTGCCACCAATCTAAAGATGGGGAGGCAGAGGCCAGTGAAGTAGGATTCCAAGTGAAAATTGAAGTTTAAGTGCCAAACTGATCCCAACCAAATGCCAGTGTGGGGCCCTGTGATAATATGTAATATCCTTTTTTTTTTTTTATCTCCTTCCTCTCTTTTTTTTCCCTCCCCTTTTCCCTGTCTTGTGCTAGTGTAAGGCTACATTGTCATGATAGTAGAATGTGTAGCTTTTCTTTGTATAACAGAATGATAACTCTTTAAGTGCTTAACTAGGGAATGCAATTAAAGTGGGGATTTATCATCACTCTTGCAATTGGCCTCATAATACATCAAGGAAAGTGGTTTCTGTGCTAACAGGTGGCGTGACAGGCATGCTGCCTGTTGAGGTAGTCAGGGTCTGCCTGGTCCAGATAGTTTAGTAAGGTTTTGAAACCATGACTCCCACATTATTGGTCAAAGTAACTGCTAAAAAGGTCTTGCGTCGCACAAAAGTAACCTCCAGAAACACCATTGCAGAGTCTCATTTCAGTGTGAGATTTGAGTGTAATTTAGGTATCTGCAGGATATCATGCATCACAGGCAGAATACAGGATTAATTGTTGCTCGGGAAAGCTGTTTCTAAAATGATTTTCAACCTCTGAGCAGAATGCATTTCTGTTTAGATTTTATAAAATGATATTCAGTGCTTTCATTTGTTATTTTTCATGAAGCTTTCACTGACTTTAATGTCAAGTGCATTAAAAACCTCTTCTGACCAATTAAAAAAGATGTTTTATGTAATGCTTTTCAAAAATAGAAAAAGATAAGACAAGTACAACCTGTCTGGGAATGGGATGGGGAGGGGTTGGGGGTGAGAGGGTGGAGGGCAGAAAGAGAAGCGCTTTGCTTTTTGGCCTGGGCCTCCCAGGATTAGGCCAAAGAGGAGCCTTAGGCTGCTGGGGACTCCCTGGGCTTTTCAGGTCTTTGAAGTTTGCTGCCCTGCAGTGCTTTCCCTCCGCTGTCTCTGCTTTTTACCCTTTCTCTCTCCTACACACAAAGAGGTAAGACCTCTTTTTTTTTTAAAGACTTATTTATGCATACAGACCTGGGGTACAGGCCAGAAGTGCAGGGGTGTTGAGAGGATTCACCAGAGACAGAGTGGGGAGCAGAACAGGCAGATTGACATGTACACTGCTGAGGGGAGCAGCGGGCATTCAGGGGAGGTCTGCTGTGCCATGTGGGTCGGCTCCCTGGCTGGGGGTGGAATCTTTTTTTTTCTTTTTTTTAACAAGTATTTGTTTAAAACGAGAAATAATGCCATTGAATGCAAACTCTCTGGAGTGTGGTCCCGGGACCTGCCCTGGCCCAGGAACCCTGTCTTTTATGATCTCACTTATTTCACTGAACATTAACTAATACTTCCCAGGACCATCCATTTCAAAATACCTTCTAGGTTGAGGATGGCAATGGTTTGCACTTTTTAATTTTTAATTACAGCTCAGTAGTATTGCATTGACTTCCTCTTCTTTATCTAAGCTGTTCCCTCTTTTCAGTTAAAAAAAATCTTGCTCTGAAAGTTCCTGATATTTCAATGAATTCACCTCAATAATCCAAATTTAGGCGGGTACTGCCATGAAGTTATGGCATGAGATGGGTCTTTGGTTCATCTGATTCAAACCCAATAATATATTTTTAAAGATTTATTTATTTATGCATACAGAACTGGGTACAGGCCAGAGGTTCAGGGGGGCAGTGAGAGGATTCACCAGAGTCAGAGTGGGGAGCAGAACAGGCAGACTGATGAAGTACACTGCTGAGGGGTGTAGTGGGCAGGTCAGGAGAGGTCTGCTGCGCCATGTGGTCACCTCCGGGGTGGGGATCGAACTCATGCGGAAGTGGCTTTAGCTTCTCAGTGCTGTGCTTTAACCTGCTGTACCACCAGGGAGGGCCATTTTTTATTTATTTATTTTTTTAAGTGTGAGTGGTAAGTTGTACAGGGTTCTAAATTCTGTCCTTGCTTTTTTTGGAGAAAATTGGCTCCAATTTCTCCAACTCTGTCTGTCACCATCCTACCCTAGACATGCCCAATTGCTTCCAACTTCTCCAGCTCCTTGCCCTTCCTTATATTTTGTTTAAAAAATTCCGTGTCCACTTGAGTTATAATTAAACAGAAAAGATACCGTGATTTAGTGATAATAATGAAGTCTCAATTAGACTAAGTGTTCGACGGTGTACCTTTGCTTTAATAAGTCTCAGTAATTGGGCAGAATTGATTTATGGTGTGGAACTAATGGCCCAGTTGCTTGGGGACTATATCGTAAATAATTGATGACCATGTACTCCAGGTTTCCTTATTGAACATACTTACCCTGGCTTCTCCTTCTACTTCAAGGTCACTTAATTTTTCAGGAAATGAAGGCAGTTTTCTTTTGAAGGGAGACTGGTGTTGTCTGTGCCTCTGGGCCTTCAGTCTCAAACAGCAGTGCCTGCCTTACCTATTCTCCAAGTAGATAGGGTCCACAATGGCCAGTATTGTTGGGTACTTACATCACAGGCTTTTGAGTACTTTACTTTTTTTTTTTTTTAAAGATTTGTTTATTTATGCATACAGAACTGGGGTACAGGCCAGAGGTGCAGGGGTGGCGGGAGGTTTCACCAGAGACAGAGCAGGGAGCAGAATAGACAGATTGACAAAATACACTGCTTGGGAGAGCAGCGGGCGGGTCAGGAGAGGTCTGCCGCACCATGTGGCCAGCTCCTGGCCAGGATGGAATTCGTGCTGCAGTGGCTGTGGAGAGCTTCATAGTGCTGCACTGTAACCCATTGCGCCACCAGGGAGGGCCAAGGCTTTTGTGTACTTTAAATCCCAGGAGGGCTGAAATGCGGCCATTTGCTATGTTTCTTTCCAGATTGTTCACAGGACGTTGGCAGCCATGTTGGGGTCCCTTGCAGCATTAGCGGCACTGGCTATGATTGGCGATGTAAGTCACCCTGCTTCTGATCATTGCTTACCTCTTTATAGAATGTCATATTCAGAGCCCAGGCGTTAGGTAGTAGCTGGTATTTTTCACTCTTCATCTACCATTTCACCTTTTAGCTCAGGAGCCATGTTAGAGGCTCAGTGGCATGGAGGAGTATTTTTGATCTATGTCCTTTTCCACTTTAGCCATAAAAGGCTCATCTGGCCACACGTTTGCCCAGGGTGGTAAAGCAGAGTGCTGGTAGGATTGGCTCTAGGTACTGTCTGCCCCTGAGAACAGAGTGGCATGCTGGCTGCCTCAGAGAGCTGGGAGGTGGCGGGGTGGGGGTTCTGCCATGCAGATATCATGGAGAAGCATGTTGGGGAGAGGGTGGTGGCATGCTTGCGATCCTGGGGGCTGATTAGGACTTCAGCAAAGATAGCTTGGGGGGAGGCATAATTCAGCCCACCACAGACAGATTCCCCCCATCATTTGAAATCAGTAAAGGATTTATGATTCTGGAACTTTCAGGGTGCAAAGAATGTCTACGTGCCAGGCTTTTCAGCCCTTTCAACAGCCAGCTCTTGGTCCCAGCTCCTCATAACCTCAGCTCTCCCTTCTCCATAGGGTTGTTAGGAAATGGAGTCACATGATGGATCATGAAATGTAAAAGTATCCTTTAGTTATCATTCTTCCTAACTCAGGCCATGGCCCCAGGAAAGGGCACACTCAGACTCCACTAACCTTAGGGACCAGGGATGGGGTTGAAGAAATGTGTCTTTCTTATTATTAAATGCAAAGGCTTGATATTAGACTGCCTGGGTCCAGAGCTTTTTTCAGTGGTGATTTAACTGACTCCAAGACATGAGGCTGGGGTGATTTTGACTCTGGCCCCGTGAGTGGGTTTGCTGTAAAGGGCAGCACATTTTTCCTGCTTAGCACCAGGCGATGATGGCCAGGATTAATTGGCAAATTTGTACTTTGATTGCAGAGACCAAGCCTGATCCATGTGGTGGAGTGGATTGATTTCGAGACCCTGGCCCTGCTGTTTGGCATGGTAATTATAGTCCTCCCCTGGGACAGGGCGCTGAGCTTGCCCTCACCCAGAACCTTCTCTTCCGCTGCTACTACTGAGAATCCTTCATTATGTTAAAGACACTGCGCTGCTTGACAATTAGGGGCTTGATTGAAAAGTGCGAGTACAGGTCTAACTAATTTCTCCCGAGGCGGAATGGAATTATTGGTGCTCTGGTTAGCTACAGAATTTCAGTCTAAGGGCCTGTCTGATAGTGAAATGATACTGCCATTTAGAAAATGCAGTCATTTGGGGACTTATTACCCTTTCCTTAAAAAGAAAGCGGGATATCCCAAATAAAGAAATGATGTAGGCTTCAGTGATTGGAAAGTACCTCTAATTATATGCATAAAGGAAGAAATTGTCCCTAAATCATGGTCTGTGTGTTTGCTAACTTACCAGCATATTAGTCCAATAGAGACTGTGTGCTGTGAAGATGTCACCCAGTTGACTGGGAGGAGAGGAACTCTAAGGTCAAACCAGCGGGATAGGAGTCTTCTATGATTTAACCGCAGAAAGTGGGGTTTGACAAGGGCCCGGCGAGTGTGTTCGTGAACAGACCCACAGTGGCTGAAAGGTCATGAGGAGGGTATCCCTCCTCATGTAGAAGAAGCCTTCTGGGTCCAGCAGGACACTTCGACCCTCGCGTGGCTTGCTAGTATTTTATGCCTCAAAGGCCGGGAGTCATGAGGGGCTGCTGCTGACTTTGAGGAGGCAGGTCAAAGCTCTGAGCTCAGCCCTCACAGAGAACCAATTTTGTGTTGGGTCCTTAAAAGCATAGAGGGTGTGGGGAAACGGAAGGAAGAAGGAAGGCATACAGATGTCCCCTCAGGTTAGTTTTTTAATAACTTACAGGATTGGTATTAGTTTGGTAGGGCTGCCATAACAAAGTACTGCAGACTGGATGACTTCCACAATGGAAGTTTCCTCACAGTTTAAGAAGCTAGAAATCAAAGATCAAGATGGAGGCAGGGTTGGGGTCTTCTGAGTTCCCTTCTGTTGACTTGAGACCACCATCTTCTCCCTCTGTCCTCACAGGGTCCCCTCTCTGTGCTGTCTCTGTCTTCCTTCCCTTTTCTTATAAGGATCCCAGTCATCTGATAAGGGCCCATCCTAATTAAATCCTCAATACAGTCATAGTCTGAGATACTGAGGGGGAGATTAGAACATCAACAAAATAATTTGGGGGGGCTCATAATTCAGCCCATCATAGATGGATTAATTTTTTTTCTCATTTGAAATCAGTAAAGGTTTTATGATTCTAGAACTTTTCAGGGAACAGAGAGAGTCTATGTATCAGGCTCCTGCCTTTTCTGCCTTATTTCATGAGAAACAATTGCTCATGGGGTTCACTCACCCCAATTCCTGAGTTCCATTTGTCTTTGGTGGTCTGGCAGCAAATGTGGAACATCTTCCCTGGTGAGGGAAGGCCCCCTGGGACCACCCACTTATGTTCCCCACAGCCCACAGACAGCATCACTTCGGGTGGACCCGATGGTCACTCTACACAAGGTGGCTATTTGTAACTGAGTCAGAACTGAGCTTTAGCCATTCTTGTTTTATTGAAAGACAATATTAGGCCTAATATTTCCCAAGGACTTGAGTTTAATTAATTAGTTTAATTAATTTTATTGAATTTTCACAACCACCTTCTAAGAAACAAAATATTCAGAGATGAGGTCAGAGAACTGAACTACAGTTTTAAAATTACAATAAAAGAAAAGATTTTTATTTTTTTGCTCAACGTCAAACTACTCTTAAATCAGAACCAGTATTTGAACCTGAATCTGCTCACTCCAAGTTCCTACAGCACAATGCCTACTTAGGAAGTGCAATAGAGGATCTTCCAGAAAGTTCAGTCTGGTTGAAATGTCTGACTGACTTGATTTAGAATCAAGAGGGGATTCTTGTCACCATGTTTGCACCACCCAGGGTCATTACTGGAAGGGAAGCCCAGGAATGTGCATTCCGGACCCATGTAGAGCACAAAGCGGTATCACTTCACTGTCCCTGCTCTTATTTTCATGTCTTAAATTGGCAAAAAACAAACAAACAAAACTGATTATTTTAGGGAACAAAATTTAACTCAGTTTAAGAATCCTCAAAAGGTGAGTCGTTGCTGGTGTGGAAATTTTGGTGCAGAAGGCCACATTCTGGGCCATTGTGACTGAGGACAAGGCACGCGTTTCTTGACTGATAAAAAAAAGAGAGTAATAACAGCACTTGGTGTTTCTGGTAAAGATTGGAATGAATAATAAAGTGTCTTGGGGACAAACCCCGGGATAAAACCAGAGACACGGACCCAGATGAGAGGCCGACCTCAGGGGGCTGAGTGAGGAGGGTGTGGGGGAGCGGGAGCGGCAGCTGAGTGATGGCAGCTTCCACACAGGCTGAGTCAGTTGTCGCTGAACCCCTCTGACCTAGTTTCAAGATGGCGACCTGCTAAGATTCTCTTTTCTCTCTTTCCCCCGCAGATGATCTTAGTGGCCATATTTTCAGAAACAGGATTTTTTGAGTATTGTGCTGTAAAGGTAGGCTGGATATACTTTTATACAGTAGTTAATGTTTACTGAATTGCTGTATTGCTTTATTTTTCTACCATTGCATACTTAGTGGGAAATATAAGCGGTAGTGGAGGACCTACCATTTAAAGCAGATACTTAAAAATTCCATCCTCTTTTACAAAACGACGTCTGCAAGAATGGGCAAGTTGCCGCGCTGAGTGAGGGGACTGAGCAATTCTGTCAGCTTCTCACAAAACAGCCGAAGACGGAGATCCCAGAGCACTATGGTCAGGTTGAAGGTTTGGGTGACATTACTTCAGTTGGCAGTTTGAGAGTCCCACATCAAAGACTCTCCGGTGGTGCAAGGGGTTACATCTCAGTACGATGAAGCGATGGGCAGTCACCGTAGCCTGAGCTGGATACTGGTCCAGGGAGCTGGCCCACAGGCGCAGCAGACCTCTCCTGTTTCCCCACTGCTCCCCTCAGAAGTGTATTTCAGTCAGTCTGCCTGTTCTGCTCCCTACTCTGTCTCTGGTGAATCTTCTCACCCCCTGCTCCCCACACCTCTAACTACACCCCAGTTCTTGCATGCATAAATAAAACAGAATTTAAAAAGCTTTATATTTTAGAGTAACTAAATTTCTCAACTCATCAGTTTCTGATTAATTTGCTTTTTGGTCAAATAGTTTCAATGATTACTTTCTGAACAGTGAGCATGTAAACATGCATCTTTGTCACCAGTGGTTTGTAATAGTCCTGCCACTCGGGTTGGTGTGAGGCGATCCTGACAAACCCCATGAGTGCGAAACTAGTGTTGTGCTGGATTTTCTTGTTCTTGAGAACTGAAAAACTCTTTAAAAAATCACCTAGCCAACAAATCCCTTTACAAACTTGGAACGATAGACCGTGCTGCGATTCCTGCTCCAGGTGTGCCATGATGCCCGCTCTCTGCGTGCCATCTTGCAAAGCCAGGGTGCAGTCTGGTCTCTCCCTCCCAAGAATTTGGTACTAAATTCATCCCTCAGATCCCCAGAGGGGATCAGGCATAAGGTCTGTGGGTCTAGCGCGGCAGCTCACCCTGCCTGACCAGGAGCAAATGGCAAATCCTGGAAGATGCCAAGGGGGCGTGGGCATCAGCTGTGACAAGTGAACACCACGGGGCTCCCAGGAGGAGAAGCCCAGGAAGCCCAGCTGGTTCAGAAGGGCCAGACACTGCCCACCCTCATCTCAGCTGACTTCAGCATCCCTCCGTGTCACTTTTAATCCACCTGCTGTTTATTTGGACCCCTCATGGAGAGTTGCGTGTCTCCTCTGGTTGCACCCATTGACCAGGCTTGTTCTTCCCGCCATGCCCAGGCCTACCGCCTGTCCCGCGGGAGAGTGTGGGCCATGATTACCATGCTGTGTCTCTTCGCCGCTGTCCTCTCCGCCTTCCTGGACAACGTCACCACCTCGCTCCTCTTCACTCCTGTTACCATCAGGTACACAGAGCGACCCCGTGTGGGTGTCAGGCCAGGTTGTGGTCAGCTTTCTGGTTGCTGGGCCTTGTCTGCAGCTCCCACCCGCTTGTGTGCCTGCTCAGCCACCGCTCCAGCTGGGACTGTGACTGTGGCTGTGGCAGTGGCAGCTGCAGCAGTGGCTGTGCAAATGCCTGCGGGAGTCTACGGCCATACCACCCTGAAAGCGCCTGATCTCGTCTGATCTCGGAAGCTAAGCAGGGTCGGGCTTGGTTACTACTTGGATGGGAGAAAAATGCCCGCAGGAGCCAGAAGACACAGCTGTTGGGGAGAGGCAAAGTGTTCCCCTGCACCATCACCCCACCTTGGGACCCACTTAGCTGTCCTACCCTGTGTGGGTGTGAGCGCTCCCTTGGGCTGATGGGGCAGGTGGCTGGGCCAGCAGGGACACCATGATGTACTCTGAGACTTCCTTCCGGGCCGTATTTCTCACTTGCAGGCTCTCTTCGAAAGCTTAGAATGCAGCTGCCCAGGCCTGCCCAGGGCTGGGCTGTTGCAGGCTCTGCAGTGGCATTTTTCAAAGGTTCCCAGACCAGCCTAGATGCAGTTAGGGTGGAGAAACACAGCATCTGCTCCTTCTTGAGAGAAGTCTATAGGCAGCAGCCCCAAGGAAGGGAATAAGGGAGAGCTTAGGGCCTCTGTATCAGAGAAACAGAACTGGGCCAGAGCCAGACTGGCAGGCTCTGTGGGAGTCTCTAGGTGCTGGGAGCCTTCTGCTCTGGCCCCAGCCCTGATTTGACAGGGTCTGCCAGCTGGTGCACACTCACCTGTGCCCAGCTGTTCCTGCTACTGGGCACCAGCACACAGGGGACTGTGCCCCCTCTAGACATGCCAGGGCCACGTGGGGGTATATTTTACACTGCTGGTTCAGAAGGGTGGTGGGTTTACACTCAGAGAAATGCAGTTCTGAGAGCCACCTGGCTCTGTGCTTCTGAAGCGGGGCTGTTCACCTAGTATTGCCTCTCACAGGTGTGTGTGTGTGTGTGTGTGTGTGTGTGTGCGCGCGCGCGCCTTCCTCCTTGCAAGCAAGGGCTTTAGAAATATTTGGGCTGCCTCTGGCTGGCACAGTGTGAATAGAGGGACCGCTTTCATTTTCCCTTCTTTGTGGCAGATTATGTGAGGTGCTTAACCTTGATCCAAGACAAGTCCTGATTGCAGAAGTGATCTTCACAAACATTGGAGGTGCAGCCACCGCCATCGGGGACCCACCCAATGTTATCATCGTGTCCAACCAGGAGCTGAGGAAGATGGTATGTACCAGTGTTAACAGTGCGGGTGCCCTGGCTAAAGGCCTCCATTTCCTTGCCTTCTAGTTCTACCACTGTTACTATAAATCCAGGTTCCTTAACGTCAACTCTTTGTCTTAAGTGCTATTGGTCATTTCGTGAGTGGGGATAGAAGACTAACTCCTGCAATAGAGAGCTAAATGGTTTGCTTTATTTTCATTATTATGTAACGACACTTTTAAAAATATGATTGCGTACCAGGATCTTTCTAATCACAGTATAGTAGTAGGACCTAATGTTTTTTCCAACTAATATTAGGAATAAAATGATCTGTGCCTTCTCACTTGCCCACCAACTGTGATGGACTGATGAAATTAAGAATTTTTAAAAGATGCGTCCAAAATGGCCTTCCCTGGTGGTGCAGCGGGTTAAAGCACAGCACTGAGAATCTAAAGCCACTTCTGCATGAATTCGAATCCCGCCTGCCCTGGAGGTGACCACATGGCGTGGCAGACCTCTCCTGGCCTGCCCGCTGCTCCCCTCAGCAGTGTACTTCGTAGATCTGCCTGTTCTGCTCCCCACTCTGTCTCTGGTGAAGCCTCTCGCCACCCCTGAGCCTCTGGCCTGCACCCAGTTCTGTATGAACAAATAAATAAATCTAAAAAAAAAGATGTGTCCAAAATGAAGGTAATTACAGAGCTTATGGACATTGAAGGAATGATTAGTGATCCTAGTCTATGCTAGTACGCTGTTGGGGAAGTTAGTTTAACACTGATAGCGCAGGAGAAAGGTCAGGTTTCGCGAAACTACCGAGAGGGCCAGGGAGGTGACCACCTCTTCTGGGTGCACTAAAGCTTGGCCTAGGCTCCTCTCATAGCTTTGAGCCAAAGTGATGACTTCTGGGGTCTAGACCTTAGGGCTGTCCTTGTTTTACTGAGTGAAGGTGGCATTCCTGCCCTTGACTTAATGATTGCCCTTCATATTTCCAGTGAAATGGCAGAAAAGCAGCTAATGAACATCCTTCTGTGGGTAACAGAGATTTTAATTAATTACTTTAACATTATTTTTATTTTTTTATATTATTCTTCATTTTGTGCATTTTTTCATCTCAGTTGTAATCCCCGTGGGCTTCCCACCACCACTTCGCCCCTGTGACATCACCATAGTCCCATGTGTTCTTCCTGCCCTAGTATTGATCCCATTTCTCTCTCCACCCCTGTAAATTATTTCTGGCTTATAGTTGTTCATTGTTTTTTGTTATTACAATTGCTTTTTTTTTTCCTGATCCCTTATGCCCCTGATATGAGTGAAATCATCCAGTATTTATCTTTTTCATTCTGGTTTTCACCAAACATGATCCCTTCCAGCTCCATCCATGTTGCTGCAAAAGGCATGAATTTATCTTTTTTGATTGCTGAGTACTATCCTATTGTATATATATACCACATCTTTTCAATCCAATCATCTATTTTTTGACATTTGGGTTGATTCCATATCTTCCCTATTGTAATTAGAGTAGCAATAAACATGGGGGTGCAGGTGTCCTTTTGAATTAATGTTTTTGTGTCCTTTGGGTAGATACCTAGAAGTGGGATTCCTGGGTCATATGGAAGCTCTATTTTTCGCAGTCTGAGAAACCTCCAAACAGCATTCCATAGTGGTTGTACTAGTTTGCATCCCACCAGCAGTGTAGGAGAGTTCCTTTTCCTCCACGTCCTTGCCAACATTGTTGTTTATAGTTGTTTTAATGTGCCTTTCTCACTGGTGTGAGATGATAGCTCATTGTGGTTTTAATTTGCATCTCCCTTATTATAAGTGATGTTGAAAATTTTTTCATATGCCTGGTGGCAGTCTGTATTTTCTCTTTGGAGAAGTGTCTTCTGCCCATTTCTTCATGGGATTGTCACTTTATTTTTGTTGAGTTTCATCAGTTCTTTGTATATCTTTCTGATCAGCCCTTTATCATTAGTATTGTGGGCAAAAAAATTTCTCCCAATCAGTGGGGAGTCTTTTTGTTTTGTGCAGTGTCTCTTTTGGTATACAGGAGCTATTTGAGGTAGTCCTTTCCTTTACAATCCTTGCTTTGAGTGTTGTATCTTTAAAGAAGTTACTGAGGTGTATGTCATGTAGTGTTTTGCCCATCTTTTTCTTCCAGATATTTTATGGTTTCGGGCCTTATGTCTAGTTCTTTAATCCACTTCGAGTTGATCTTTGTGCATGGTGGAAGATAGTGATCTAGCTTCACTTTTTTTTGCACATAGCAGCCCAGTTTTCCCAGCACTATTTGTTGAACAAACTTTCTTTGTTCCGTTGCATATAATTTGCTCCTTTTTCAAAGATTAGCTGTCCATAAATCTGTGGGTTTATATCTGAGTTTTCTATTCGAACCCACTGGTCTGTATGTCTATTCTTTTTTCAGTACCATGCAGGAAAAGCTTTCAGCTTTTCTCTGTTGAGGACAATATTGGCTGTGGGTTTATCATATATGACTTTATTATGTTGAGGTATGTTCCTTCTATACCGAGGATTTTGAGGGGCTTAAACATAAATGGATGTTGAACTCTGTCAAATGCCTTCTCTGCATCTATTGATATAATTATATGGTTTTTATTTTTCTGCCAGTTAATGTGATGGATTACATTAATTGATTTTCATATGTTGAACCATCCTTGTGCCCTTGGGATAAAACTCACTTGGTCATGGTGTATTATTCTTTTAATGCATTGTTGGATTCTGTTGGCTAAGATTTTATTGAGGATTTTTGCATCATTTTTATTAGGGAGATTTGTCTGAAGTTTTCTTTTTTGTGTTGTCTTTGTTAGGTTTTGGTATTAGTGTGATGTTGGCTTCACAGAAAGTGTTTGGTAGTTTTCCTTCTTTCTCAATTTTTTGAATGAGTTTGTGCAGCTTAGGCACTAGTTCATTTCTGAATGTTTGGTAAAATTCATTTGTAACTCCATCTGGTCTTGGGCTTTTATTCTTGGGGAGGGTTTAATTACTGCTTCAATTTCACTGCTTGTAATTGGCCTGCTTAGTAAAAACAGAACCCAACCTTCTGCTGTCTCCAGGAAACATATCTAACTACAAGAGATAAAAATAGATTGAAAGTAAAAGGATGGAAAACACTCCTACAAGCAAATGGACCAAAAGAGAAGGCAGGAACAGCTATACTTATATCAGATAAAATAGACTTCAAACTAAAAAAGATTAAAAGAGACACAGGTGGCCACTATATTATGATTAAGGGAACAATACAACAAGAAGACATAACACTCATCAACACATATGCACCAAATGAAGGAGCACCAACATATATCAGGGAACTATTGTCATCTATGAAAACGTGTATTAGAGAAAATACATACACAGTAGGAGACTTCAATATGCCACTCTCCACAGTGGACAGGACAACAAGACAAAAAATAAGCAATGACACTACAGCTCTAAACAAAGACCTACCCCTCATTTGTCTAACAGGCATCTGTGGAGAGACAAATGAACCCCTAGTTCCAAGGCTAGTGTTGTGAGTGGAGATGAATTTATAAGGGTCATCATTGGTGCTGACTGCACAGGCCCATAATGGCAACATGGGATGGGCATGTTTATTCTGGGTCATGGGTGGTGGCTCATCAATGAACTCACATAGGAAGAACAAAGATTATAACATAAAAATTTATTTGGAAATTAACTTGGAATGTACAGGAATAAATTAATAATCACGATGTAATTCCGAGGCATTAAAAATAAACAAGCACTAGGCTTTGGAACTGTAAAGGAGTCACATGTGAAAACTCCTCCCCATTCTGAGGATCAGGCAGATGTTACAGGAGGTTGTAAGGACAGTTGTTCCACACTGGGCACACTCCTCGCAGGCCTCTTGGGATGGCTCTCTGTTGGCAGAATGTCTAGTACTGAGAGGCAGGTAGGGAAGACATTTAGGGTGCACCATGTGGGAACCACTCACCCCCCCACTCACCCGCCTCGGGGTTGAGCTCCAGGCTCTTACATGACTCATCTCACAAAGGCCCAGGGGCTACGTGGTTGTCTTTTCCTGATTGCATTTGCTCCTTTACCTCTGTCCTAGGGAGACTCATCTGTGAGTAACATAATGTTCTGTTTATCTTTAAGCTTTGTAAAGTCTCTCTGTGTCCCAGTGCTTGTCAATGGCCCCTCACGAGACAGAGGAAGGCATTCCCAGCCTGCCTCAGTCCTGCACATAAGGAGGTTCTTCCCACCATGCTGTGCATGCTGGGGCATTTCCCAGACTTTCCCATCATGCCCCCGAGCTGTGCATCCTGGGACATTTCCTGGGCTTTCCTGTCATACCTGCTGCCCTGTGTGCACTGGACACCCTTCAGCTGCTGGGACATCCTTCATCTGGTCCTCCACCACTGTTCTTGTCCAGTCCATTACTTGACGACTTGGATCATGCTATATGCTTTCCTCTGGTTCTCACTACACCATTCGGGTCATTTCCTCTTACTCTCCACTGCTGATTCTTGGTTTTGCAGTTCTCTTCAATATCTGTGGGCCTTGTGGTTTGCCCTGCCCTGTTTTACCTCTTGGCTAGCATTCTCTAACAGGGCATGCGCGCCATGGAATACTTTGTTTTCTGCGTACTGGAATATAACTGCGGAGTGTCTTACCTCCCTCGGGTCCCCATGTGCCATGACTTCACCTCCACATACTTGGAAGGACCCCTCAACAGCAGCGTGTCCCACTCTGGCCTCCTCCCGTGTGTCTGCACACTTATACTGCAGTGCCGGGATCTGCGCCTTTCTTGAGCTGTAATATTTTACCAAAATATCCAATAGCTTCAGCTAAATACTTCCTAGAAATTGAGCTTCAAAAAAAAAAATTTGTATTTATTTTTTATTGAGGTAGCCCAGGTTTACAACACTATAGATTCAGGGGAGTAGGTTCACACCTCTTCAGCTGTATGTATCACACCCACATGGCAGTACCCATAGTCTTTCATGTAGATCAAAGGGCTCCCCCCTTCGTTCTCCACCCACCAACCCCCTCTAGTAGCCTCAATTCTGAAGTCATATTTCTAGGGTTCTTTATGGTTTTCACTCAGAATAATTCAATAAATGATTTTAGCTTGAACATGTCTTCCCCTCATCCCCATACACAACCCAATAGACTTATTTTTTTTTTATAATATAATAGTTTATTTTTACACCATGTTGTGCCTTTTTCCATCTCAGTGGCAATCCCCGTGGGCTTCCCATCACCAAATCACCGTGTCATCACCATAGTCCAGTGCACTTCCCTCCCTACCCCCCGTTTTTGATCCCATTCCCCACTCCACTCCCGAAATATGTCTCTGGTATATAGTTGTGCATTATTATTATTATTTTCTCACCTGATCCATTATACTCCTGCTATGAGTGAGCCATCTGGTATTTTTCCTTTTTTTTCTGGCTTATTTCACTATGCATGATCTTTTCCAGCTCCATCCATGTTGCTGCAAAACACATGTGTTTTTTGTTTGTTTGTTTCTGAGTAATATTCCCTTTTGTAAACATACCACATCTTTTTCATCCAGTCATCTACTTTTGGGCATTTGGGTTGTTTCCATGTCTTCCCAACTGTAAATAAAGCAGCAATAAACAACCCAATAGACTTTTAACTTGTCAGAGGTAGCCTTGTACCCAGAAAGTGTATTAGTGAACCAGGAGAACTTCATTCTGACTCCTCTCAAACACATGTAGCTTGGGAGGCTGTGAATGTTCTAATTTGATTCCAGGGGGTCCTTTTCCCCTTGTTTTACAAGCCTCAGATTTGACCACTTACGCTATCAAATGAGGACATTGTGGGAAATTAAGACGAGAATGTCTGAGTAGACTCCAAAGCAAAACATGATATCACAAGACTTAGAGGGGATCAGGAGAACCAGCACCGTGCACAAGAGGGCTGCGTTTAGGCGCTGTATTGATGTCAGTGTCATCGTGGGTGGTTTTGTTACAAGAACATTACGCAGAGGAATCTAGGAAATTATAGAGGCATGTAAAAGCAGCAGGGCGTCCCAGATACGCGTGCCTAATAAGCTTAGTGAAAACATTTGCATTCCACTGTACATTGCATCTGCCTGTATTGTTTCTTAAAATTATCAGTTTGGATTATTCATTCCTGCATTGTTCTTACTTTATAAATACACCCATTAGAACTCTAATAGCAACCAGATCCTTGCACTCAACACTGTTATTTCCTGTGGCGGTATCCCCTGCATCTTTGCTATTCTCTTTCTTTAGACTACTCACTTATCTTCTTTAATTGTGCCATCATTTTTTGTGGCACAACTTGATATAATGTTCAGAGCATCCCAGAATGCATCTCTGCCTTCATAGGTCTTCCGAAAACATGAATAATATTTTATGACTGAATTGCTATAAAGTCAATTGAATTATCATTGCATTTTAGATTATTTTTCTTGACTCAAAATTCTGTTTGGTTTCTGACGTTAGTAGAAATTAAGAGTTTTTTGACCCCTCGTGTTTGGAACATGAGTCCATAGGTAATCCCAGAGACCAAGGTAATATCCTCCTTGAAGATACAGCAGAAAAGTGATGCATACTCCGACAGTCATTAAAAACATACCAGAGCCCCAGCTCTCTGCTGGGTTCCCGTTATTTACATCTGAATGAGCTCATCCGTGTTGCCCATAATGCCATTCCCAAGGGCAGCCACTGCAGGTGCAGATAACTGCAGGAGATTAAGAATTGTAGGTTATTAGACATTGGCAAGCCTCACCCTGTGATCCTTCTTGCCCCTGCCCCATCCATACTTATTGGAATTCTGATCCCCTTTGTGGCCCTGGTTCCATGGACACTACTGAAAAGGCCTGGCATCCTTATCAGTGACAAGGATAAGGTCCTCACAGTCAGCTCCTTGAGGAAAGGCCTCATCAGTTGTGCTGGGAGCTCACGTGAGGGGCGGGCAGGTGCTGGCTCATTTACCTTCAAGATACAAGCATAGAGTTAGTGGAAGAGGGACTAATGGTAGAAGGGATTTTTTTTTTTCAAAAACAATGATGTGCTCAGAAGCTGATCTTGACAAATATCCCCACAGACAAAAAAAAAAAAAAAAAAAAAAATTGAGGAGGAAGTCACGGCTCCAGCCTGGGGCTTGGGCTGGTGGCGATGCTCTGGGCAGCCTCATACCTGGGAGGGAGCAGGCCCTTCAGGAGGACTACACTCACCAGTTGTGAAGAGGCTCTTTCAAATCCATGGCAGGAACTGAAAATCAGATATTTAAAAATCCCAATTTACCTTGAAATGAGTGACTACTGCCACATAGTTTTATGTTTTATTCCCTCAGTCTTTTTTCATCCTGAGGAACATGTCAGTCAGTGGTGAGGTGTTAGCTGTGATGGTCTATTTTATTTCTTTCTAAGGTGACTTTTCATGTAGGCAAGAACTGGTTTTTCAATATGAAAGAAACAAACTTTCAATACTTCCAGAATTGTGGTGAAGAGTGCCTGTTCTTCTCTGAGTGTTGTGCTGAGCTCCACACCCTGTAACTAACACCCCCACACCTAACAGAGGGACAGTACCTGTGTGTCCACTCACTTCCCTGTCCTGTTTCCAGGGCCTGGACTTCGCGGGATTCACAGCACACATGTTCGTGGGGATTTGCTTTGTTCTCCTGTTCTCCTTTCCGCTCCTCAGACTCCTTTACTGGAACAAAAAGCTTTACAACAAGGAACCCAGTGAGATTGTTGGTGAGTAGAAGCACCTACCACCTCAGATTTAACTTCAGACTTTTACTACTATGATCTCATTTTTTCTCCATGTAAAGTTGTTACAGAAAGGCAGGGGATTTACCACATGTACAACATCAGGGGAGGGTAAATTGTCAGGATGCAGCTCATCTGGTATGTTCATAGTGTCTTTACAGGGGGTTCAAATGCATGAGTTAGGCTCTGTTAGATTTCTGTAGAGTGAAAGGTGCTTGAATGTGGAAGTCATGGCCACTGTATATGGTTCACGGTATCAGAAATGGTTGTAGATAACCTGATGCAGATAACCTGATACACACACTGCAGTGTCAGTGTTCTTCGATGTTGAGAGGACATGTGGTCACAATGGCAGTGTCGTCCAGCATGAGGGATAATATGCCACGAGAATATTGAGTTGTGAGAATATTGGTGAGAAGGCAGGAACAGGAAGAGGGCGTAGCCATCTTAGGACTTTGCATTCCTTAAAGTGTTTAGTACTTCTACTAGAGGTTCAGTTTTAGAGACCATTACTGGTTAGGCTAGATTAGAAGCAACAGGTGACTTGGGGTAGAGCCAGCCTCTCCTCAGCAGGCCCAGCACATGGACATGCTCAGATTGCTGTGGTAACAGCGCGTCTGTGTGACAAGCTCGGTGGAAGAAGGTGCGTATCACTCTCAGATTTCGAGAACAGGGAACTCTCCCCGAACTCGTTGATTGTGCGATTACCTTTCTCACCTATGCTGGTCCTCTCATCTTGTGTTGGACATGACTTTGATTGATTTTATCTTTAATAAAATAACCAAATCCCATTTCTGTATAAATCACAGGGACCTGACCTATTTACTGTCCGTGTCTCTGCTGAGCTCACATACTAGGTGGTCAGCATTTAAATACGGAAGAGGGGGGCTGGGTACCTGGGAAAGGTGTGCAGCCTTTGGGCAGACCTTGGTTGCTACCTCTTAGGTCTTTGGGTAATTGTCATTCATACCACCCCCCCCCCCCGAACTAACTTGACAGGTTTGGTCTTTTAATGTCATCTTGAATGAATCGTGGTATGTGGTGAGTTTCACGTAATAGGGCCTTCATGATAACTATCCTTTCTTATAGTCTTTGATGGGTATTTTAAGAAACTTTTGTAGTATCGTTAATGGTAAAATAGAGGTTAAATGTAAACTTTCATGAAATATTTTAGCACTTTAGGGGCCAGTAAACTGAGCAATTATTTTCCTCTTCTGTACCAGAAGCTGTCTGAATCTACTGGTGGTTGAATATTTGCCTCTATTAAAAAAGTTAAAATATTTGCTGTTCACTTCAGATTTTATAAGGTTGTCTACATCTCTCTCATTTGTCCTTCTGCAGACAAAAGCTTGGGGACCTGGTCGGGAGGCTTTCTCTACCTCCTGTTCTTACAAAAATGCTCCACTGGGGAGCCCGGGACATCACCTACTTGTATTTCCAATGTTCTGGTACAGAATTAGATCTGTTTCTGAAATTGCCCCAAAATTGAGCAGCGTCTGGACTTTCAGCAATAGCAGAACCTGAATTACTGGTTGTGAGAAGAAATTTCCTGGGAGGGGAAGATGCTGGGTGCTAGCTTAACTGTGTCTGCTCAGTAGAGGATTTTGTTTTTCACCCAAGGAGTTGAATTTGTGTTCCATGGCAATTTTTTAAAGTCAGTTTTGTCTTTATCACAATGACACCTGAAGTGATAGGACACTCAAGCCGGAACTTTCCTTTCCTGCAGAACTGAAGCACGAAATCTATGTCTGGCGCTTGACAGCTCAACGCATCAGCCCGGCCAGTCGTGAGGAGACGGCGGTGCGGAGCCTGCTCCTGGGGAAAGTGCTGGCACTGGAGCGGCTGCTGGCCCGCCGGCTGCTCACCTTCCACAGGTACCCAGCCCGGCCCTGGGCAGGTCACGTGAGGTGGCAGCTCCGTGGCTCAGAGAGTGCTCGCATCAGTAGCCGGTTGCCTCCACCCCAGTGCTGTCCAGACATCACACAAATTACAGAGCAAGTGAAGTGAAGTGATTGCTCTTCAGAATACCCCATGGTGTTGCAAAACAGCCTCGCCAGCCGCACAGTCTGAGGGAACTTTCATGTGCCAGACACGGAGTGGAGGCTGCATCGCACATAATCTTCTTTAGTCTTCAGTGAGCTCTGTGGAGTCTGTGGTTGTTGGCCCCATTTCCAGGCTGAGAAAACCGAGACTTCTCAGAGGGGGAGTGACTAGCCCTGCGTCACTAGCTTGGAGAGTGAGCTCATACTCCCCAGCTCCACACAGAACACTTGCTGCTGAAACAGTAGGACAAAGAAGCAAAATAATCGTCTATATGGTGCCGCAGTGAAGAAGCAAAATTACAAAAATATGCTACAGCATATTCAAATATATTCTGTAATAAAGAGCAGAAGGCATTAATAGGAACAACTGCAGACTGTTCTCCCAGGAATTGATCTTCAGTCTAAGAGTCCTACTCAGCCCCTTCCTGGCCTTTGTGTTAATCACAGTGGTGACGTGTAGGGGGACAGTGAGGGAGGATGTGGGGTGCCCCCTGACTGTCTGCACTCCAGTAGTGCTGACGGGAAAGTCTTGTCCATCCCTCGGGGTGTGACAGAGCTGAAAACTGGGCAGGGATGAGGACCCAGCAAGGCAGGCAGGGGAGTCCTGCGAACGCTGGGGCAGTGAGCATGCTGCGGTTTGTGGGAAACAGCGCTCAGAGCGGGCAACGTCCAGTGCGTCTGTCCACTGGCCTGGTCTGATAGTGGGGGGACTCGTCCACATCCCGATGGGAGGAGAACCTCCCTCACTGTTCCAGGTTCCCTGCCCCTGCTCACACATACCTATCCTCACACACACTTCACAAGCTCCCGTCATCCCATCGTCCCCTTGGAGAAGTCGGGTGTGACTGTCCACTGCTGGGCCTGTTTGTCGGTGATGGCATCGTGGAGTGGCTGGTCGACAGGCCTGGGCCTGGGCCCTGGCTGAGCCCCCTGCCGATGGCACTCATGGTCATGCTGTGCAGAAAAATCACTTGTCTTCCTCCTTTCTCTTTTAGACAAATCTCTCAGGAAGATAAAAATTGGGAGACCAATATCCAGGAGCTACAGAAAAAGGTACTTTCGCTCTCCTCTGGAAGAGATAGATTCCTTTTCTTATTGCATGTCAAGTTATGACTGGAAGTCTTTTTTCATTTTGTTCCTGTAATTGTGCACAAGGCATAAATTATTTCCAGGAGTTATGAGGAAAATAATTTTCCAGACGTGGTTGGTAGGTGTATTTGGCTCAGAAATCAGAGTTAAATTTGGGCTCTTCCCTGAACACAGGGTGATGTTATCTGTGGTTAATGTGGCCACAGGGAGGGGCACTCCTGGCCCTGAGGGGGCCCGCAGTTCCATTGTGCAGATGAGGATGTGGAGACTGAGATGGCAGAGGCGCGCCCATGGGTGTGTGTGTGTGTGTGTGCACGCGCGTGTGTGTTTTGTACAGCTGTCACCTCTGACTTCTGGGAACCCATGTTGGGTTTTTTTGCTCATTTTTCTGCCTTTGCCAACTTTCTTAGCCCACCTGGTGACACATCATGACCCCTTCCAGGTGAGAGAGTACTCTCTCCTCCAGACCTGCAGGACTCTACTTGAAATGTCTAATCTGTGAAGTTTCTTTCTTAGGGAGAGGTTGAATGTCCACCTTCTAATTACGACAGGAGCATTTGTCCTCGGCTTTGGGTTTCTGGTGAGGAAGGCGTTCCTTGGTCCCCTCTTCCCAATATCTACCCCATTTGAACTGTGTGGGTTAGGAAAGAGGGGTGTGGGTGTGGCTTCTCTGGGCCCGAGGCTTCTATGGACCCTGGTCACATCGCTAGACTGTTGCTGTGGTCGGGAGTTGGGGAAGAGCACTGAGCCAGGTACATGAGAAGGGGACAGATGGAAGGGGAAAGCGAAGAGCTGGGCCATGTACCTGACTGTATCGAAGAGTTTGAAATTTTTGTCAGTTGAGGTAAACTTGGTTTATGATGCTGTTTATAATTCAGAGGTAAAGGGGCCCATCTTTCAGACATCTCTTGCCACCGAAGCTTTCATACTATTGTGCCAGAAACCATGGGGTCCTCTCCCCACTTCACTCCCTGCCACCCCCCTGGGGTAGCCTCTATCCTAAGAGTCCTTACCCTAACCCTCAAATAGGCCAAAGGAACAAGCCTGACAGAGCTCTGAATAAGCACACACTTTGGATCATCTCTGTTTATATCGCCCGCATGCTGCAATGCTCTTGACATCACTGTGCCCTCTGTCTCCAAGCCTTGAAGTCAGCCTGGAAATATTCATGTCTGTGTTCACACGCTGCAGGGCAGCTTTGTAGCGTTTCCTCTGCACCAGGGAGGTGCCGTGTCCTGCTGCCCTTGGTTCCCCACCACAGATTCATGTAGCAAAGTTAGCCATCTTTGGACACAAGAAGGGGAAGGTGAGTCGGGGTGAACCTTGTCTGGTGGCAGGGAGGACAGGTGCTTCCCGAGGGCAGCCCCAGCCTATGAGCTGGGGCCATGGCTGCATGAAGGGATGTGACAGCAGCTCTTACTGTGTGACTAGAGAAACTAAGACAAAGTTATATTTATACCTTTACCTCTATCTGTATTTCTCCATATCCTAATTTAGGCAGACACAGAGACAGATGGGCCGACAGAATAGGCTTAAGGACAAGTTGTCAGTTAACACGATGGAGCAGGGGTTCACACATGGCCCGGTTAGGGGGGCAGGGTGACCCTGTTCCCATCTTTCCCTCCTTGTAGGGGCCCTGTTCCCTGCCTTGGCCCCACAGAGCCTTGTACCTGTGAAGACGGCAGCCTTTGGGGCCCTGCTCCGCCTCAGCCTGTGGCTCAGCCCCCAGGGAGGTGGCCTGTAGTTCCAGGGTGCCCACTAGCACCTCCTCTGGTTTCCTGAGTGGCTTGGACAGTTCCTATGTCCCCTTGCAAAGAGGGGATTTCCAGGCCACCCGGGGGTCCTGCAGAAAGTAGGGACCTTCAGCAAGACCTGAGCTCCCGCAAGGCCTTCTTCCCTCAGCATCACTGTCAGCGAGGATTTGAAACTAGGAGGGAAAGTTGAGCAAAATAGATTGTGAATGCACGCACCTGTGTGTGCCTGGAGGCGATCTGTTGTCTTCCTGGTTATTTGTTAGCTTCTCACCTCACACCGGCACCGGGGCTGTGAACAGCTCAACACTCTCTGTGTCATATTGAAAAGCAGTTTAGTCAGATGTCTTCTCAAGGGTTGGACTATATTTACGATGTATTGTGTTTCTTTTTCGTAAAGATTTTGAATGCTGTCTTCTCAAGTGTGCCTAGTTGTCCTTGAAACATTACTTTATTATCTTCTTTTGAGTCTAAGGTGATATAGTTTCATTATAAGGAGAAATGGGTAGAGATTCAAGTCCGCGGGCTGATGGACACACAGCAGGAACCAGAAGATTGTACCGAATAAATGAGCCACACTTTCTTCTCTCACAGCACAGGATATCAGACAAGGTTCTGCTCGCCAAATGCCTGACAGTCTTGGGATTTGTTATCTTCATGTTCTTTCTCAATTCGTTTTTCCCTGGAGTTCATCTTGATCTTGGTGAGTCTAATTTTTTTGTTAGCACTGATTGATAGGCTTTGTAGTTGATAACACAGTCTGGAAGAGCAGGTTTCAAGGCTTTACCCAGATTCTGGTGAGAATCCTAGTGAATTGACAGGTGTTTTCATTTACACCTGCGAGCTGATTCAGGTAGAATCCTGATGTAAGAATGAAGAATACCAGAGAGGGGTAAAAAAGTCATGACTTTTAATTGTATTTGGTGGGTTACATCTAGAAATTATCATTGCAGTGTAATTAGTTTTAATCACACTCCAGACAGAATGTATTTTTAACATCATAAACCCTTAATCATGCCAAGGATGTTTGATGGTCACCAGTGTTAATTAAAGAAATATAATAAAATGTGTTATGTGGGTAGTGGCCTTGTATTAGAGAATTCTTTTGAGTATTCATAGATTATTTTGTTTCTAATTTTATCTGAGATTCTGCTTTCAAAGAACAGCATGCATTTTAAAAACTAAGACTTTGCATACAATTTTGTTAGATTTGGAAATGGTCTTTAAATTTTCTTTAAATGGTCTTTAAATTTTCTTAAAATTTAAAGTCACAACTTTAACTATTTGAACTTATCTTGACCACCATAAAATGTTTTATGTCAGCCTGAGAAATCTACACTTTTCACTAAGCCGTTGTGTCTCTTTTTGCTGTTTGTTGCATCTGTATTGGGAGGTTTGTTACTTTTCTGCTTTTAAGTTTTGTTTTTTAGTTAGGGTTTGTGTATAAAGGATTTTATCTGGGGGATAATACAATATGTAATCTGTATATTCGCTCATTCACTGTGATATGGGAGAGTCAGGTTAGCTAGGAAAGAAAGTTTGATAAGCATACACTTTCAAAGGAATACAGTTTCCTTACAGCTACTATCACTCTCCTAGTGCGAATGGGGAAAGATTGATGGAAGGTCATCCCAGGGCTTCTGCCAGGGAGATGTGATCATTCATCTTTGGTAACATGTTTTGGATGTGACCTGCTTTGTAAACTGAGCATGATCCATCATGGTGGCATGAACACGAGGTGATGCCACACTGCTGAATGTGCATCATGTAACATGTGACACAGGACACAGTGTGACACCATAGAGCACAAGATGATGTCATACAATGCCACACACCATGTGACCCCTGAATACATAACATAAGACAGTGTGATGTCATGTGCCATAGGCTCTTGTGATGTCATGTGACATAGGCACCTGTGATGTCATGTGACATAGGTGCCAGCTATAAACAGATGTGACATCACCCATTCTTTCATTTAGAAATCACAACCTAACATCCACTTGCCTCTTATTCCCTTCCCCCCTCTTATTTCACTTTTTAAATTATCATAGGGAAAAGTCGACTTTCTTGGTGGTATAAGTTATAACACATACATAGAATGTGTCGCCACCTCTACAACCAGAGTATGGAATGAACCAGAGTATGGAATGGGCCCAGCTCCCAAAGCACTTGGCGTTGTCCTTTCAGTCACCTGCCTTCGTCCTGGCACCCCTGACCCTTCTCCTTCACTATAGTTTTGCCACCCACATGGACAGTCTTCCATGGAAGGCGTGGAGATTGTCATCTGCCTGGAGTCCGACGTTTACACCCTCGGGGACCAGCTTCTCTCACATGGCAAAGTGCCTCTCAGATTCAGCCAAGTTGTGTCTATCAATGGCTCTTTCTTCTCTTGCCGGACAGTCTTGCAAGGTACCGCGGTGCCAGCTCTGTGTCCACTTGCCCACTGATGGACTTCTGTCTGAAATGTCTCCAGGTTTTGGGGACTGAGTGAAGCTACTCTGAACATTGACATACATGGTTTTGCGTGAACTTAACTTTTTCTTTCTCTTGGATAATTACCTTAGTGAGAGGCAGGTTGCTGGGGGGTCTTGGGGTGAGTGTATGTTTGACTTTAAAAGGAAGCACACTACCACTTTCCAGAACAGCTTTACTGTGCTCCTGGAGCAGCCTGGGAGAGCTCGAGTGCCCCACACCCTTGCCAGTGGTTAGCACACCCCTTCCTGCTGCCTCTGGAGTTCCACAGCGCCTCACCACGTCTTCTGCCTGGACGTCCGTGGTGACCAATCATTTTTCCTCCTCTCTGCTCTCCAGAGGCCCCTGTCCAGATACTCAAGAGCAGCGTCCACTCTCTTCTATATTTTTCTTTCTTCAGTTGACGTGTGAATCTCTGACACATAGTAGACACAAGTTCAGGTTTACAGAGTCCATGAACAAGTTTGTTTTGAATCTTACGGATCCCGGTTTACTTGTAAGGATTTCATATGTGGCAGACTCAGCCAGGGCTCTCTAGTGAACAAAGCCTGAAGAAAGACTTGTATGTGATTTCTTCTCTGTGGAGTGGGATCCCGGGCGAGAGAAATAAGGGCCAGGGAAGCGCAGCAGTGAAGGGAGCAAGTCAAAGTGTGGCTGTGTCATTCCACAGGCCACTGTTCTGGGCTGTGGGTCTCTCTGCCCAGAGGATTGTCTGAGAAGCATGAACTGCGATTCAGGACTGTCTTTGGCTCTGTGTGGGAGAAAAAGGGCACATTTACCCATATTCCCATCACTCATTGGTCTAAGCTGTCCCTAGAGAGTGCCGAACCTCCTTGCATTTGGCAGCCACTTGCACGAGGGTCACACAGTGGAGAAGCTTCAGATGAGAGGCAGGCAGACCTGGTCAGGGTGTCCTTGCATGAAGGAGCACCCCTGCCACAGGCTTTGGGAGAGGGACAGGAGAGTCCCCAGCGATGACAAGAGATGGCACAGCAGTGAAGAGAGAAAAGCAAATAAGAGTCAGATTGTAATTCAGGCTCATCTAGCAAAGAGACAGTCCCCTGGTGTTTAACGCATGGTGTACACAGGAGTTAGGCCCAGACTGCTGAGTTGTACACATAGGTCCACAGTATTCACCTGAAACTCTTGGTGCCAGACAGCTTTCACAAATCAGACATCTCTATTTATATTCTAGAGATAATTCAGTGAATTGTATATAATGTCGCCCCCTCCACTCCCCAAGATTCAAGGAGAGCACCCTGTCATTTGCATTAATCTTTCTGCAGCAAAACATCATTGTATAAGGGAGGATCATTAAGGACCCAAATGGCTTCATTTCAGTTCGAGTCAGATTTTGTTGGATTCTGACATAAAACTTCTAAAAAAGTTTAGCATCTCTGAACTTGAAGATTTCAGGATTGTGGATACCTGATTATGGAACTGTAAAAAGAATAAGTGAGCTGGCTTTAAAATGTTATCTTTGGCTCTAAAATGTCTAACCTTGATTAGCAGTTTTCTGGATCTCCTTGATAATTAGTTCAGAATGTGTTCCTCGGTTCTCTCCTGATATGTTTGATTAGATTTCATCTCTGAGGTCTTTCTTCCACTGTTTCCCTGATTATGGTTTTGAAATTGCTGGTTCTCAGTGTCCCTGGATGTCCTATTGTGAGCAATTTTATTGTCCCTGTGAAAGTATTTTTAGTTACCAATAGAGCAATCTGTTTGATCAGTCTTAAACGAAATAGGGGATTATTAGGATGGACTAACTGGTAGACTCCAAGGGTTAGTGGGCCCTGGGGGTGGGCTGGGGAGGGGAAGCAAACTCAGGAAAGTGAAAGGCATCCGGAGGTCTTGCTCCCCTCTCCCAAACATCCTCCTTCTTTTCTCTTCACCTCTCACTTCTCCATGAACTGTTTTATTGCCTTATTTTCTGCTCACAGCAGAATGATGCTGGTCTCTTGACTTTTCCAATGCATAGGATCACAACGTCAGCCGCATACAGAGAAAAGTCTTATTTTGAGCCCCAAGTTCTTAGGTAAAGAATCTAATTGGTCCAGATCAGGCTAGCTTCCTCTCCCAACTCGGAAGTTATGACCAGAGGGACAGAGATGGCCTGGTAACACAAGGCCTGGACAACGGGCAGGTACAGATCTTAGAGACAGGCGTCCGTCAGCATGAGCTGCCAGGACACGCCGCAGACTTCCTGACACATTTACCTAGGTACTCTAACTTCCAGTTTGTAATTCACTCCACTGACATCATTCATCCACGCATGCAGTTGTATAGCCAATACAGGCTGTGGTCATGAGGCTGGGGAAGTGTGCTGAATACAAGTCACTTAGTTGCTGTTCTCACAGGGCTCCCAGCCAAGAGGGAGATGGGTCTATCCTGACTCCTTTGCAGTGCCTTGTGGACCACACACTATTTACCAGTCTGAGACCCTTGGCTCTCAGTCTGATGCCGAGGCAGGGCAGGGGCACAGCTATAATGCCCATGTGATATCTCCCATCATCAAAGTGCAGGTGAAATGTTATAGGGCTTTAGATAAAAGAGGACTAGGAGGAGGAAGATGGAGAGGAGGGGAAGGAGGAGACCCTATCTAAGTGAAAAGGTAAGGAAATGTTTCTTGGAGTGGTGTGTGGCCTGGATTTGGAAAAGATGGTAGGATTTTAAACGTCGAGAGTGAGGTTAAGATGCAAATACAAAGAAGCAAGTGAAACTTATAGAAATGCCAGTGAAAAGCAGCGACAGTGAGCCCTTGTGGCCAAAGGACGTGCTTGGCCATGGATGGTGGTGCTCTAAGAGGCAGATGGGCAGCTTCCTTCCTCGGAGCCAGTGCTCAGAGCTGGTCCTCAGCCTTGGCTTTGGAGGCAGCGTTGTTCTGAGTGAGCAGATGCTCCCTGGACCACAGGATATACACGAGATGCAGCTCTTCTTTGTGGTTGAGAGAATTCATTTTGTCTTCTAGCCCACATGCTATCTAACCGTAGACTTAGACTGGTAATGCGAAGTGTTATAACAAGGACACCAGTGTATTAACTTGAAGTTCATGGGTGTGGAGAGGACAGTGTTTTTGGATCTTGGGGGTAGTCAAAAAATGTGGGGTTTTGTAGCATCAGCTGTGAATGCCTGTGAGTGACGGATGTGGAAACAAAGCTTTGGTTAAGTCATACAATCACCTGCTCCATGAGGACTGAAATCACCTAGTTCGGGGTGTCTCCTCCACGA